TAATGGCCCAGAAAAAAATTTAGGGAAGCAGGGGTTATTTTTTTTTTTAAGGATCATTTATATGTGTGTGTGTTTCTTTTAAAAATAGGATTAATATATGTTTTTAAGAATGAATACAGTATTATTACATTTTCATATATTATTGATTCCTGGCCTTTACCATTTGAAAATGGTTTCTACACTCTGTATAATAGAAATTTTTTAATGTAAAACTGGCTGCCATATCAAATTATTGCAATTTTTGATTTCCTTCAAAGGCAAGAGCGCAATATATTTTGCCTCTGGGGAGGAGGGATGATCATTTTCATAAGAGAAGGAAGGATTCAGTGCTTTCTTTGCTTGTGGGTTTCCTCTTGTTCACTTTTGATCTAGATATTGGTGGCTATGTTCCGGTCCTCCTGCATAAGCCCAAGAGGATTGGGAATGGAGTGGACACCAGCAGAAGCACCATTTATTCCTGTAGAGATTAGAAACAAGGAGTTTATTGCCCTGCTTGTCAAGGCTCAGGACAGAGAGGAGGAAGAAACAAGTTATAAAGGTTTTGGTTTTGGAAAGAAGTTGGAATCTCCAGACTCTGGGACCTTAAGATCCACAAAATTGCTGAAAGAAAAAGTACTACCTTATTGAAAGGTAAGATAATTAAAGTGTTTTAAGGTTTAAGCTATTTTAGCCGAAGTAGCATATTTTCATAAGCTGTGAGTTCAAGCAGTCATTTCTGCTAAGCTGAAGTTTTTGTGACATAATCACCCATCTAGCCTTGCTGGTGAGATGGAGGCCTGTGTGGCTGGAGACATGTATATAGTGAGGGAAAACCTTTATAGAATTTTACTCATTTTTGAAATGACAGTTACCAAATGCCAGGCACTGTGCTAGGCCTTGGATATACAGAGATTAATGAGTTACCCTACCTATCTTCTAGAAATTTTCATTCAAGGAAAAGAAAAAAACTGATGATTACAATGTGATAAGTGCTATAAAAAATAGGTACTCAGTGTAACAAGAGTGGTCTAACTCTGAGGCAGTGACATTTATGTCCTAAAGGATTAATAGAAGCTCATGAGTTTGGAAGAAAGGGATAGGCTTCAAGTTAGAGAGAATTATATATTCAAAGATGTAGGTATGAAAAAGCATGTTACATTGGAAGAACACACCAAATTCTAGAACTTGCTATCTGAACTTTTGCTATGGGTAAAAGAGGGGAGAGTGCTAAGAGATGTTACTAGGTAGGTAAGTTTGGGCCTGTTGTGAAGGCCTGGTTGCATGCAAAGGAAGTTTTAACTTTGGCTGTGGGGAAGCATTCAAGATAAAAAACCAAAAATTGTGGGGCTACTGTAGTTCCACGATGAATAGGAGAAAAAAATAAATGTATTGTCTTAAAATAAGAATGTACCTTCACTCTCTAATTGAGTTCCAGAAAGAGAGATGGTCCTTCTTATTCTGTCTTTTCTTTACTAATATTTCTGGTACCCTCTTGTTCTTACTAGGTTGATTCTAATCTTTGTAGGTTACTAAAGAGTAGGATTTTGACTTAAGCTGTTGAGAACTCCTAACTTTTACCAATTTGTGCCGACTTTGAATATTTTCTGAAGTCTATGCATGCCTCAGCCTTAAGATCATTTTATTCATTCTAGAGAGAAAGCTATAAGCCCTAAAGTGAAGATTAAATAAATTGAATAAATGTTACAAGGAAGTAGCCAACTTTCTAGTCTCTAATCGTGACCAAAACAGGGTCGTAAACTTGTGACCTCAAGGAAAAGAAAACCATCGAAAGAGAAGTCAGACATAACTCCGAGACCTTTCGCAGGAATTAGATGGTATGAGGACTCATTAGGTGGCCCTGAATAGACCCCACAGGCTCTGCTTGCAGTAGAGAGGCCAGACACACACTATAGATTTTGGAGTTGCTTGTGTTGGAACATTAATTGACCATCCTGTTAAAAGAGTTCAGGACTTGGTGAAGTCACAAATCTAGAAACCAGTGAGAAGATAATGACCCTGGTGGAAGATACGGGTGAAATGCTTTGAGAAGGGATGATATCTGCATTCTATGGAATGTGACCTTCACTAAGATAAGAGAACAGAAAAGAGAAGGTAGCCATAGGACACATGATGTCCACACACGAGATTTCGATGACACTCAGAGACCTTGCTGTGTATGTCAACTAGGGAGAGCACAGACTGCCAGGGCAAAGGGCTCAGCGTAGACAGTGGTGCTGGAGGATTGCAGGAATCTGCTGTCAGTGTGGCGTTTAGTTTCCAAACTATTTAATATATGTAATCTAGTTAGAGCAGGAACAATCATATTGGAGGAAATACATTTCAAAGGGCATCTGTTGAGATGGGGGGATGAATTAAAAGTCAGGAATTTCAGGCTCAAAACGGGGCATTTCTGTAAAATTAGCCCAAAGACAAAAAGTAGAGGGAGAATGGAAAAGTTCTCAAAGGGGTATCTGGAAGCACCCAAAATGAGACACCTCAAGAGACATTGGCTTTAGTGTTCAGGACTGTATGTATGATCTCTACAAAGTTTTATGCTTTCTAGTTTAGAAGCTCTGGAATATAATGATGACCTAAACAAGGAATAATGGATTGACAGTTGAGACATGTGGCAGTTGCCACAAGAAAAATCCTTTCTCACGGAAGAGAATACATAAGGAGTGAATTTGAAAATAATATCAGCCTGCGCTCACTCCTCCATTTATAATTGGCACTTCTCATATTAACGCTCCATGTAGTGCCATGAAATAATCTTTAAATGTATTCATATATAATTAGACCAGATACTATTAATAGCTTATATAGTTTCATATATCAGTAAGAAGTAAAACATATTTTGAGTGTAATGAATATAAGAGAACTGTAACTGAGAATACTCTTGCTCAGATTCAAAATCCTTTGAATCCTTTGAAGATAGGGTCTCGCTTTATCACCCAGGCTGGAGTGCTGTGGTGCAATCATAGCTCACTGCAACCTCAAACTCCTGGGCTCAAGTGATCCTCTTGCCTCAGTGTCCCAATTAGCTAGGACTACAGGTACATGCCACCATGCCTGGCTAATTTAAAAAAATTTTTTTCAGTAGATGAGATCTCACTATGTTGCCCAGGCTGGTCTCAAACTCCTGGCTTCAAGTGATCCTCCCGCCTCGGCTCTGCAAGTGCTGCTGGGATTGAAGGCGTGAGCCACCTCACCCAGCCAGATTCAAATTCTTAATAGAAGATACATAATGATTTTATTAGATACAAGGAAGATTTTTTCATTAGCAAACTTCTTGTTTTAAATCTAAGAAACTACATATTGGGGGACTCAGAAAGATGCCCTGAACAGACCTTAGAGCGTCTGTCTGCAGTAGGAAGGAACTAATTTTAGATTTTGAAATGCCTTTAGCGAAGAATCTGCAACTTTATGAATGTTGAATAATTCATCCTAGAAAGAAAC